AATCTAAGCTTCACAATGGGTTACCTATAAAAGGCTCTTTACCTGGCTTCCTGTCCAAGACACACACATAGACAAAAGTATCGGGACACGCCTCTTAATTGAATTCAGGTGTTGCAATCAGACCCATTGCCACAGGTGTATAAAATCAAGCACCTAGCTAAGCAGTCTGCATTTACAAACATTTGTGAAATAAACTGGTCGTTCTGAAGAGCTCAGTGAATTGAAGTGTGGTGCTGTGATAGCATGTCACGTTTGTAACAGGTCTGTTGATGAAATTTCATCCCTGCTAAATATTCCATGGTCAACTGTAAGTGGAATTACTGGAAACAGCAGCAACTCAGTTATGAAGCGGAATACCACGTTAAGTCACAGAGCAGAGTTAGAGAGTGCTGAGGCGCATGGTGTCTAAGTCGCCAACACTTTGATTCCATAGCTGAAGAGTTCCAAACTTCCAATGGCACAAAAACATATGTAGAAGCATCCTGGAATGGGTTTTCCTAGACCAAGCAGCATTCAAGCCTTATCACCAAGTACAATGCCAAGCGTCGAATGGAGTGGTGTAAAGGACGCAGCCACTGGACATGTTCTGAGAGGTGACGGAACAAGGGTCTGCATTCAGCTGATGCCAGGAGAATGTTACCTGTCTGGCTGCACTTGGCAGAACTGTAAAATTTGTGGAGGAGGGAAAATGATATTGGTCTGTTTTTTAGGAGTTGGGCTAGGCCCATTAATTCCAGTAAATGCTTCAGCATGCCAAAACATTTTGGCAGTGGGGCTACTGGCGTGCAGTCCCTGAGGTCCAGTGGGGCTGAGCGGCTGGCGTACAGTGCGGGCCGCGAGGGAGCAGTGATCTTCCTGCTCAGCACCCTCGCGCGCCTTTTAATGATGGCGGGGCTGAAGTGACATCATATTCCGGCTCTGGCATCACTGCAGTGCACGCAAGGAAGCTTATCAGGGGAGAGTGCTCCCTCGCCGCCTGCCTCAATTATCAGCGGCACCCGGCCGGGCCAAATTGCGGCAGAACCCCAGGCTTTCGCGGAGCACCAATTGGAAAATGATGCTCTACTGGATGAGTGCAAAAGACCATGTGTGCAACAATATGATCACGACTATAGGTCAAATGTCATTTTGGGTGCTTTCCACTTCAAACAACTTCCCTTAAAATGAAAAAAAAAAAAATCCTCACTGCAGTGGTTGTTTAATTTGTTTTTGTCTACTGAAAATCTGCAGCTTCGAAGAAAAAGCAAGTGACTAATATTCCTCAGCCAATCCTCTCCGTTCCAAATAATTAACTCCATATTGTGTAATATGCACAGCAATCACAAGGGACACCCAAAAAAAAAAAAAAGCTTAACAAAGGGGGTTTTGGTCCAAAGGCTCTATCCTTTTGTTCAGCAGTGTAAAACAGTTTACATTTTGCCTAAACTTCACCTCTAGTGGCTGTCAGACTCACTGAATACCTTTGCGCAGAGCATGATGACTTTAAACACGTGCAGTGCTTCTCACAGAGAAGCATCATGTTGAATGCTTCTCTCTGACACGCTTTATTCATTGTTTTTCCTATGACGAGCACGTGATTGTTGCACATGTACCCTATGTCCCCCAAAGCCAGTTATCTAAACGGAGAAAATTTTTTGTCTATTTATTTTATTATTTGAACAAGGTGGTTACAAATGACAGTGTGGTCAACGATTACATTTTAAATATAATACAGTACATTTGCATCGTAGTCACCTTCTAAGTCCCACATATACCGATGTAGAAGTGCTGTTGTGTAGGGATATGTAGGGGAGGCTGTACACCACAGTATTTTGTTCATTTGTATATTATGAGCAGGGTTTCTTCGTATTATTTTGTTATTTATATAGCGCCAGATTCCATAGTGCTGTACAATGGGGTAGAAGTGTGCCCTACTAGTGGCACATAACCACTCGTCCCAATGACCAGTTGTGTATGCCTGTGAGGCGGTGGTTTTGTCGTGCTGGTCAGTGGGCCTTTTAACAATGGCATTGTGGGTACCTTTTATAGTGGCTTGGCTGTGATGGTAACGATATACGTAGGTAGAGAAGGTTAAAGTGTGAAACGAGAGAGAAAAGAGTCATGAGAAGGGAAAGCTCCCCAGTGGGACCTAAGTTGGCGAGAATGGATGTTTCGGTATCCTGAGAACATTTGTTTGTTGTTTATGAGGGTGTCTTGAGACCGGAGGGGGGTCCAGTGCTTGGTTCACGAATGGTGGTATAGCTACTATGCATTGCTTGTGTCTATGAGTCACTGAATTGCGTGTCCCTAATGTTTGTTTTGTTAAGTTCCTTGCTCACTCAGTAAGGTCACCCATACCTCCCATAGATCCCAGCCTGCCATCGTTTGTGAGACCTGTTTGAACTCATGTGGGCCATCCTTTCGTACTGGCCATTAATGGTGACCTGTTTGATTATATATATCCGAGAAATATATATTTTAACGTTAAGAGCTGTGGTTACCAACCTTTTTTGGACCAAGGCACACTTAAGACAAAATTTCAATGCACAACTACTTTACTTTATATCTTTATCAACATCTATCTTGTCTACCTGGTAAGCTTTCCTTGAACTGAGCACCAACATCCTGGCTCTCTGTTAATTATTATTATAAACTCTGCCCTTTGCACCTGTCATTGAGCACAGAGAGAGCAAAGCACCGAAACAGTGGGTCATTTATCAAAGTGTTCTAAAAAGTGGTTTCATTGGTGACTCCACTCCTTTCGCATGTTTTAATGTGCCTGCTGGTTCTACTGGTAATTGGGGACTGTCCAACTTCAGGCCCCTTTTTAGAACAGTCCACTGATACACAGCATTGTGGTCGTTTCTCACTTTTAAATTACACGCTCCCTGACTGTGCCAAGGAACTGAAGTGTGATGTCAAGCTCTAAAGGTTTAATAAATCATTTTAAAAGTAAAGAAGTGACAGATGTCCTTTAAGATATAGGGACTTCCCCAGACCAGTTATGATAATGTTAACAGATTGCCTTGTTATGACACATGTGAGACAATGTAACAGCCATCGTGACATTAAGGAAGACATCCCAAGGTACTCCACTTCAAGTGTTTTGAGACATTTTTAAGGACCATTTTATCAAATATCTACAAATCCAGTTTCTTTTTGTTAACATTACATTTTCACTTGCTAGACTCACATATTAATGTAGGCGAGTTTAGCAGCCCACCGATTCAAACCATACCCATAAAAAGGCACGTAACACTCATCTACATCCCCTAATTGTAAGCAATGTCCCAGCACCACTTAAATGACTACTATAGGCACCCAGACCACTTCAGCTTAATGAAGTGGTCTGGGTGCCAGGTCCAGCTAGGTTTAACCCTTTTTTCTATAATTGGGTTAATCCAGCCTCTAGTGGCTCGCATTGACAGCCGCTACAGGCGCTTCCTCGCTGATTTTCACAGTGAGAAGACTCCTGCCGCGCATGCGCATCCAGCCAATGACGTCGCTATGGAGGAGAAGGAGAGTCCCCCGCCCAGCGCTGGAGAAAGAGTTAAGTTTAACCCCTTCCTCCCCCTAGAGCCCGGCAGGAGGGGCACCCTCAGGGCACTATGATGGTCCTTTAAAGCTACCACCACAATAATTATATAAAGTACATCCTTCCCTAACAATGACAGCATGGTTAAGTCTTGGAAAGGAGACTGAATTAAAAACTGTCTTAGTTTACTCACATGTGATTTCCTTTTATTATTTTGACCTTCACCTTAAATTTCTTTCAGTTTTGCTTTATAAGGGAGGGTATACAAAATATGAAATCTTTAAAAAAAAAAAAAAAATCACACTTTTCTTTGAATTAATGTTTCTCTGCATATAGTTTGTTCCAAGTTACATGATGGGAATTTTGTGAATTCAGATAAGTGTTGTTTTGTTTTTTTTAATCTGTGGTCAGATCTGTAGAGTCGGCACAATTTTGTCTCAGTTGTGGAATATCTATTTTAGGGACACATTCAACTTCAGCCAGTATCCATTGACAGTCAAAATGTAATCTGGGCTGGAATAAATGAGAAACTTGTGAATGCTTTAATTATCCGGCAGTCTTTTAGAAGAGGCAACTGGCACATTGGTATGCAGAATGTGTAATAATTCACAGGAAGCCAAGAACACCAGCCTAATCTTCAGATTTATTTATCACTTCTAACAAATCACAATTTTCTAAGACAAAAAACATGGGCTCTGACTGGGTTCTAAATCACTGTGTGCCCTCTCTGCAGTTAATAGAATAGTTTGAAATTAAACACATACATCAGTCGAACATCACATTGAAACTGAAAATATAAGCTATGAGAAGTGCAAAGTGAAATTTAAAGGTATATACACATTTCCACAATATCAACTGTCTGATGACATAGTGAGGAATTAGATACCACAGCTGGGTTTTTAGAATAGTTGGGGGCAGGGAGGAGATTTCTCCCTCCAGCTCAAAGATTCTTGCAGGATCAGATAACTCTTTCCAAGCACTCCAATTTAAGGGATGTTAAAATAAAATAAAAAAAACTTTCCCCATGATGCTGAAAACTGCATGAGCCATAAGGAAGTAAATAAAATAGATATGCTCTTACTTTTTTGAAGTATAAAACTTAAAGCATAAATAACGGTATCGACCAAGGGAAATTAACGATCACTATCAAGCCTTACGCAGACACACACACACACACAGAATACTGCTCTCTACATGTCACATAGAGCAAGCAGACTTTATGATTTTCAAAGAAATAAACCAATCTAATACATCAGAGCTCTATAAAGCATACACATTACAATTTATATACCCAACCTTTTCCTGTTAACTTTTAGAAATTTTACAAAATAGGTTATATACAGCAAATTAACAGAAAACGGAAGGCAAACAGGTTCTCGCCCAAGCCTACACAAAATAAAACACTGATTTGATTTAGATTTTTACTTAACAGGTTAAACTTAAGCATAGAAATTCAAGCTACTCTTGAGACTGAATTGTTTAAAATCGCTAAATGTGACAAACTTGAGTAGCATCTTGACAGTAACCGTTTGTACCTCTTCAGTCTAAATCACCAATCTAGTTAAATCTATTTAAGGCAATGGAATGTTAAAAATGAGTTAAAAAAAATAAAAAATAAAAAGTTCCAACATCTGGTTGTCATTAGCAAATTGAGATTTAAAGGAAAGAAAAACAAATAATAATTGATGTTAACATTTTCTCCGTCTGCTGGACCAAGGATCAAAAACTCGGCACTTTGAATAGATCCAACTTATATCACTAAGATATAAATTAAATTACCACATCTATTAAGTATAAAATATTTCCTGAGAGTGCAGTACTAAAACAAATAGAGGTATATAACACCTTGAATTAAAGGGATCCAATATTTAGTGGTATGTTTCAGTTATTGGCAATTGGAAGGATCATAGTGGAATTATTCAACACCAATATTTCATGAAGCACATTGAAAGTGAGGTTTGTTGGTATATCTGGGTGTCTTACCAGAAAAGTCAAATCACAGCGGAATGTTTTCCCTTATACAGCCAGCCTTACGCATTCTTTATGTCACTAGGTCTATCCTGCCGATATTATGACTGTGGTAGCAATGGTCTTTAGGCATGTTGACCAGAGATCGGCTATTGGGGATTTATGGAATATGAAAGATATCCTATTATTCACCTGCTGCAAATCTCACTGAAAGCTAAATTTATTTATAAAAATATTTTACCAGGAAGGATACGTTGCGATTTCTCATTTTCAAGTGTGTCCTGGGCCCACAAAATTTTTTTTAAAAGCTTTAAAATGTTTTAAGAGAAAGTAACAAAGAAATATGTCTGTGTGTTATATTACCTCCATAGCGGCTCTATTAAAAATATATATATACACCTCAATATATATATTTATTCTATACGGCACTGACAGAGAGCATCGTTTTTAAAACGGGTAATGTATGAGATCCAGCAGGAAGGAAGTGTCTGCCTTAATGCCAGAGGAGTGGTCCAAAATATAGCACAAACCTATACACCCTTTCCTGACCCCCCTTGTATTTGGCTCACTGAGAACAGCTGAGCCAACAGACACTTAACAAGCATAGTTTATATACACAGTCACTTGACACTTCCAGCACAACTGGAAGTCACTGATAAGAAAAACCTAAATGACCACAATTGTCCTACATTCTAAATAAGGACTGAATTTGCTATTCAAATTTTGCGCTTACCAAGAAACACTCAGAATTGGCAGTGTATAGTTCACAGTCAGCTTTACAGGACTTGCTTTTTCTCTTAACCTTATAAGATAGTCTAGGAAATGCCCTGAACACGAACATGGCAAAACAAGTTAAAGGGACACTATAGTCACCTGAACAACTTCAGACTAATGAGGTTGTTCAGGTGAGAACTATAGCTCCCTGCAGCCTTTCTCATGTAAACACTGTATTTTGTCAGAAAACACAGTGTTTACATTGAAAGCTAGGAACACCTTCAGTTGCAGTCACTCACAGTGAACCAGAGGGACTTCGGAGTTGATGGAGGCATAATATGCCTCCTTGCACTCAGATCTGCTGTCAGCAGAGCACAGGGCAGCACTGTGCACAGCATCCTTTTTTCTAGTTTGTTGGATTGGATAGAGCTTCAAACTGGGTGTTTTGCCTTCTTTTGGATCAACAGCATTAACAGATGTGAGAAGGGCTCAACTTATGCAACTATGTATATAGATATTCAAGTCCTGGCCCATTCCAGGGCCCTATTGATCTGCAGAGAGCCCCAGGAGGAAGGATTTCCCAAGTAAATGAGTTAATCTCAAGAGAAGATATTAGGTTGCAGGTGGATACTGAATAATTTGTATTTATTACTGGTATTTATAAAGCGCCAACAGATTCCGCAGCATTGTACAATTTGTGGAAAACGTACAAAACACACAGACAAATACAAGAGTTAAAGAGAGCCCTGCCCATAAGCTGATATCTAGCCATTGGAGCTATTTTATACAAAGTGCTTAGCTAGATGAGGTCCCACTCTGACTCCCTCTGCTTCCTCCCACGCTGTCTGTGTGTTAGCTGGGAGGAGTGACGTGCAGTCACTTCCTCCCAGCGTGTGATGTAATCACAGGGGGCCCGGTCGCGCTGTTAAAGCGCCCAGCGCTGACCGGGCCCCGTTACAATCCACATCCATCGGATGGCCCCTGACAGCATGGGCCACTCGATGGAATCCTCCATTTGCGGCCCCGGCGGTTTGCCGCGCGGCCGGGGCCACAAGTAGTGATGGCGGTACCCGGTCGCAGGGCCCGCCCAATCTATCAAAATTAGAAAATCCCTACCGCCCACCTGGAATCCTGAAACGCCCACTAGTGGGCGGTAGGGACCAGGTTGACGACCCATGATCTAAAGGATACTATGGGGATTTGAGACAAGAGGTAACAGGGTAAATTTGGAGGTGATGGCTAAAAAAAAAGAGTTAACAGAGAGAAGCCATTGGTAAAATATGAAGGGAATGAAGAAGTAATTGAGTGAGAATCTCCAACAGCTGGAGGAGCATGCTATATACTTAGGGGGAACCTGGGCGGGAGGAGAGGAGGATGGGTGGGAAGTGATGAGAATAAATGCAGAGCATCACAGAGTTTGAGTGTGAAGTGAGGCCTAAAGAAGAGAGATGGAGATTGAACAGTTATATGAAGGTATTTACAGCTAGGAGGAGAATAGGAGAGGGAAATGGAGGGTAGACAAGCCATGTATTGAATACAATTGGAAAGTTTAGCAACCAAATTCTATCACTCAAAATATTAATAACAGTGTACATGAAATATTGGTCAGAAACATTAAATGACAATAATACAAACTGCATGCACAGAAACTTGCAGCACAACCCGCAGATAAGGCCGAAGCAAAGCCAGAGACCTACCAGCATGGTCGGAGCGGGGGAGACCGTCACTCCACTGCCACTTACAACGACTAAAAGCTTTATTATGGGCCCTCATTCCCCCCCCTATGGACCTTTGGGGGTCATCCTGGTCCCAGGAAGGACCATTCAGAGGATGTGGCTACAGCCCCAAATGAGGAATGCTGCAACCAAAATGGCGCAGAGCGCCACCACTAGGTCATCCGACCAAACAATGGAGCCCAACAGTATGGCGCAGCTAGACGTGGCATTCAAGACTTTCTGGAGAAAACTGGAATAGCGGCAGAGGGCCACACACACTCTGGTCGAGAACACACCACAGGCACTACCTATGACTATGACTTGCAGCCTCCTGAACTGCCAGATTCACAGAATGCGACATGGCCAGACTGCTCTTACAGGACTCAAGCAACCCTATGTTTATTTCGTATTTTGCTTATCACTATGGTTTTTGCTCTCTGCTTTCCCCAAAACGTGCAACCATGTTGATATATATATATATATGCAGTCTCACGTCCCAGCCTGAGGCCATAGCAAAGGGGGGGGGGAGGAAACCCCTGTAAAGTGAAAGCGGGTATAGTTCGCAATGTTACATCTTGTTTTTTAATGATACGCGCAACCAGGTGATGTCTCTATTAACCTTACGACCCCGTAATACCTCAAAAAGTCAGTACGTGTATCCTGAATCAATAACTCGTATGCCTTATTACATAGCTGACATGATGTTTTAACTATTGATCAAACTACATTATAATATAAAATGTACAAAGTTCTAATATGCCATACCACTGTTTCTAACTACTGTACGCTACACTGGCAATAGCTGTTGTGGCATTGCCAGCCTTTGTATTTTTCGTGCACGAAAAAAAAACCAACAAAAAAAACAACACAGTCTGTGAGCTTTGCAATTGCTGTTTAGTTAATGAGTGAGTGCACTGCATTTTGTATGTTGTATGAATTGGGCCCAGCAGAACCCCCTTTACAATGTATGCATGTTCAGGTAAGATCACGAGTTAAGTGCTGGGCAATCAGGGAGTGGGTCTTCATTTGTTACAAAGGCCCCTGCTGCAGCCAATGAAAGTTAGGTTATTCGGATTTGTGCAAATTTTTGTTAATTCAGACCCTACTCCACCCTCATAAGTAATTATATGCACAAAAATATAGTAATTTTGGATACACAATTACCCTATGATACTGAAAAAAACCTGCAGTGCTAATCTATGGTATGAATCAAGGTAGGTGTTCTATTTTACAGAAAATTCTTCCCTTGGAATTTTGCCATTTAAAAAGTATTCCAGGGCGTGGCCTGACCAACGATCGAGCTGGACGCACTAAGCTAAAGCTCCGGCCCGAAACCGCCGCCTACAGCAATAAAAGGCATACTTACCGCCGCCGAACTGAACCGAAACCCCTGCAGGATGGAAAAGCGCAACCCCAAGAAGCAGCCTAGGAAGGGGCAAGAGGCAGGGACGTCAGTAGCGGATCTATTTGCTGCCGCAAAATCGACCGCGCAACAGGCCCAAAATGGCGCCGGTGCAGGCCCGGCGCCCACAAGCCCGCCACAGCGCAGTGCCTCTCCAACGGAGCATCAGGTGGGGGAAACCCCACAGATCCTAGCTCAATTAGCAGAGCTCAAACACTACCTGGCAGGGGAGATACAGAAATCCACCGCGGTCCTGCAGAATGAGATCCAGGCACTGGGAGTCAGAACTGCGAGACTGGAGCACAAACAGGAGGCCACAGTGGATGCCCACAACTCAGCGGTCCTCCAGATTAACCGCCTCACAGCTCGTATGAGAACAGCTGAGCTGGCTATAGAGGATATGGCCAACCGATCCCGACGGAACAATTTACGCCTCCGCGGGCTCCCAGAGACCGCCGGGGAAGGCCCACTGCAGGACCTACTCCACACCATCCTCAAACCTCTCCTCCCTGATATGCCAGACCACCTTTGGCACATTGAACGTGCCCACAGAGCGCTCCGTGCCAGGCGGGCAGATCAGAACAGCCCCAGGGATGTCATCATGCGCTTCTTCTATTTCCAGACTAAGGAGGCCCTCCTGAAGAAGAGCAGAGAAACACCCATCCGGTATGGGGATGCTGACCTCTCCCTATACCAGGACCTCGCTCCCTCCACTCTTCAACGTCGGAGAGAATGGAAACCCATCACGGACGCGCTACGAGAAGCAGGCATCCGGTATGCATGGGGCTTCCCCTTTAAGCTCATGGTATTCCGGGGCAACCGCACTCACATGCTGCAGCCAGGAGAATGCCCAACCCAACTGTTCCAGGCCCTGGATATCCCACCACCACAGAGCCTCTCCACGGTCCCACTGGAGCAGGAAGACCTGGGCCTACTGACCCGAGACTGGCAAATTGTGGACCGCCACAGTCAGTGAAGTCGGAGAGGCGCGACGTGCTAGCTGCTGTGAGTAGTTACAACGCTGGAGACCCTCAGTTATTGACTGGACTGGTGGGGGGGGGGAGGGGGGGATGGAGTGCTACGGGAGTGGGGGTGTTGCAGTGATTGGGAGGGGAGACGGGACCCTATGGAGACATCCCGGGATGGCCGGGTTGAGGAGAGCGGGGCCCCCGGGCAGCCTGTGGATAGGCACATGACTTTGGGACCCATATTCCCCTGTAGCGGATCAGGCGCCTTCCCTTCCCATGTTGACAAGCACGCCCGATGGGCCCTGATGGTTGGGGGAGGGGGTCCCGGAGATGTCGGGGACCTTAAGGCCAGATATGCGGGCTGGGGGACCCGGGCGGAGGGGCCCTCAGGTATGATGCCCACAGCACACAGTCGCTATTTGTTCTTTCCATGTGCCCGTCCCCCGTCCCTTGCCCCTCATGCCTTTTTTCACCCTCATACGATCCCCACCCCCTCTGGAGTGTTAGTTAAGGTCATCTGGGTTTTTCAGGCTCACAGCATAGACGTTCGGCCCAACTTAGTTGATAACACTGGCAATAGGTAAGAAAACAGTTTAGGCGGTGGAATTAGGGACGGGAAGATCGACCGGTACTCCCCGTACTAAAACACGAAGCCGGAAGGACCGGCACACAACCCTCCTAGGATCCTGGCAGATGGTAAGACCAGGGACACATGTTTACTCTATTTACTACCTCCTTTATTCTTTCTTCTCTACCTTCTTCTACTCTCTCCCCTTTTGCTCGAGCCTCTCCTCTCTCCCCCCCCCTACCCTCCTGTTCTCATTTCTCCTCTTTGGACCGGGTGCTTGGGGGGGTGGGGGGCCTCGTGGGGGGGGGTTGGCGGGGGGCAGATGGCGGGGACGGGACATTAGCGAGGCCGGACAGACACGACCATGACACTAAATATCACCTCCCTAAATGTTAAGGGACTGAACTCCCCCCAAAAAGAGACGCCTAATGTTCCGAGACTTAAAACGCATGCGCCCCGACATTGCCTTTATTCAGGAATCCCACCTACCAAAACAAGCCACAGTCACCCTTAGGGACCGTACGTTCAATACAGTATATGAGGCTAGAGCAGTAAACAAACGCAATGGGGTAGCAATCCTGCTTCGACATGACTGCCCCTTCAGGGTCTCAGCCATAGAGGGAAACAGCAACGGCAGATACATTATCCTCTCCGGCACACTAAACACGCAAGCTATACACCTTATAAACGTGTACGCTCCCAACACCCCAGAGGGGGATTTCTGGGCCGAACTGGAGGGGAAGGTTCAGTCCCTCTCACATGGCATGCAGGTCCTAGGTGGCGATTTTAATGCGGCTCCGTGCCCAGCAGCAGACAGAAGCGCGAAGGCGGGGCAGCCACGATCACAGGGCAGGGGAGCTTCGGACAAAGCGTTATCAGGGCAATGGGACTCAGATATCTGGAGGGCACAGCACCCCGGAGACACAGATTACACCTTCTTCTCGGCCCCCCACCACACATACTCCCGAATAGATCTGTTCCTGGTAAATAGCGCCACAGTGCCCAAAGTCGCACGTAGCAGCATTGGATCTATCACATGGTCGGACCATGCGGACATACACTTAAGCATCCAGCACATAGGTACAGCCCCCCCATGGACGTGGAGGCTCAATACCTCCCTTTTAAACGATCCCGAGGCAGTAGCCTCCATACAGGAGAAGCTGTCCTATTTTACCACCAACGACTCCCCCGACTTAACCAAGGGAACACTCTGGGCGGCGCATAAGGCGGTGATCAGAGGCGCGTTTATCCAACTCGCCACCCACAAGAAAAAAGCAAAAACACAACGCCTGCGCGAACTCATGGATTCCCTACGCACTAGGGAACAGTGCCACAAGACTTCCCCCACGGAGACCACACTTGCCCAACTAGACACGACTAGGCGGGCCGTTAGGGAGCTGCTTCTCGACGACGCAGCCCATAGCCTTCTCTGGTCCAAACGGACCTTCTACGAGCAGGCTAACAGGATGGACACTCTCCTAGCCCGCACCCTAAGACCACGACAAACACGCCACCACATCACAGCACTGAAACATCCGGACGGAACAATAAAGACAGCCCCAACCGACATAGCCTCGATCTTCACTGAGTTCTATAGATCCCTATATAACCACTCCCCGACCACCACATCGCAATGGGCGAGCGAGAGGGAGATGACAGCTGCCTTCCTAGGACAGCTAGACCTGCCCAAACTGTCCCCAGAGGAGACAGCCGCTCTCGACTCGGAGATCACAATAGACGAGGTAGATAGAGCCATCTCAAAACTCCATGGTAATAAAGCCCCAGGCCCGGACGGACTAAGCGGCAGATACTATAAAACCTTCAGAGAAACATTAACCCCCCACCTGACGAACTTATTCAACGACTTCCGGACAGGGGGCCTCCCTGACGGAGACCTCACTCGAGCAGACATAGTACTGATCCCGAAACCGGGCAAGGACCCGCAATTACCGGGGAATTACAGACCAATATCGCTCATTAATCATGATGCGAAACTACTAGCTAAAATACTGGCAGACAGACTCAACCCCTTCCTTAGCAAACTAGTAGATGCCGATCAGGTGGGTTTTATCCCAGGGAGGCAATTATTCGAAAACACGCGCAAGAACTGCGACATCATCTGGCGACAACACACTAGCAAGACCCCCACCCTCATAGTTTCACTCGATGCTGAAAAAGCTTTCGACAGGGTGAAATGGCCGTATATGTTTACTCTCCTCGACCACCTAGGACTCCCAGACACATATACTGCGACAATACGAGCGCTATACCACGGGGTCTCGGCACAGATACGCATCCCTGGGACCCACACGCTCCCCTTCCCATTGTCCAAAGGCACGAGGCAGGGCTGCCCGCTGTCCCCCCTCCTATTTGCTCTGGTACTGGAACCACTCCTTCAGGCGCTACGCATTCATCCTGATATCCAGGGAATAACGGTTCAGGGACGGAAGTTCCTGGTCTCGGCGTATGCCGATGATGTCCTCCTCTCCCTCACGTCTCCGATCACCTCCATGAGGGCTGTTCAGGAGACCCTAGCAATATTTAGCCCACTCTCAGGGTACAAACCCAACATGGCCAAGTCCAGTGCCTTACCAATAGAGCTAACGCCAGACGTGATAACTCACATACATAGAGCTCATGGCATCCACATAGCAACCCACTCAATCACCTATTTGGGAGTACAATTGACTTCAGACCCATCCAAAATGCACAAATACAACTACCCCCCCATGATAACTACTCTTATCAGAGACATGGAGAATTGGGTCGACAAGCCCATCTCATGGATGGGCCGGATTCACTCCATTAAGATGAATCTCCTCCCTAGAATCCTCTTCCTATTTCAAGCCCTTCCCCTCCCGCTCGCAAAAACAGACCTGGCCCACCTCCAAAGAGCCATCGGCAATTTTATATGGCAAAATAAAAGACATCGGGTGTCGAGGCACACGCTATACCGCCCAAAACGAACGGGAGGTCTAGGCCTTCCCAATTTACATAACTACTACTTAGCAGCCCAGCTTGCCCAGATTGCAATGTGGCACTCCCCTATAGACACGAGGAAATGGGTAGAACTGGAATCTCTCCTAATGGGCGCCGACCTCCCACAATACTTTATCTGGGTACCAAAGGATTCCAGACCCATACTGCGGACAGCTTGCCCTGCCATCACCAACTCCATTCACATTTGGGATCAAACATCTCAGAAATACCGGCTGTCATCCTCCCCCTCCCCCCTCATGCCCTATCTCAGAAACAGGGCCTTCCCACCTGGTTTAGTGGCACAAGCTTTCAGAAACATTGAACATACGGGCCTGCAGAGAGCTTGCCAACTATATGTGGAGGGTTCCATCATCCCATTTGACACCATAAAGCAGGGACACCACTTAACCCCGGCCGATTTTTTCCGATACCTCCAGATCGCAGACTACGCCAGGCAACCGCACACAAAAAAGGCCGCACTCATATCCCCCACCTTCTTTGAAAACATATGCCTTAGAGAGCAATCTCCCAGAAGCCTAATCACGCTGTTATACGCGCACATATGCTCAGAAACCAAAGAATGGGGCAACCTCACATATACTGATCAATGGGAGAGGGACCTGGGTGAGGTATTAGAGGGAGTGGATTGGCAGGATATTTGGGAGACGGCGGCCACCTCCTCCATCTGTGTTTCCTTCCAGGAACAATCTTTCAAGACCCTCTTTAGATGGTACACCACCCCAGTACAACTCCATCGCATGCGAAAGACACCCACTGATCTTTGCTGGAGGAACTGTGGTCTGCGGGGCACATACATCCACATGTGGTGGGGGTGCCCCGTCGTCCGCAGGTACTGGGAAGACGTTAGAGACATACTGGGACAGGTATTCCAGAGGGCACCCGCCCTTGACCCGTGGACATACCTCCTGGGCAGACCAATTGACGAATGGCCCAAATATGACCTAAAACTATTCAACAAAATCACATTGGCGGCCAGACGAGCCCTCGCACAACGCTGGTTAAAAATGCAGCCCCCCACCAGGGCAGCGATCCTGGGGAGAATAAAAGATAGTTGCCTAATGGACGACCTCACAGCAAGGGTGCGCAGTACTCAAAAGGCTTTCGAAAGGACGTGGGGACGCTGGAAGGACTGCCCCCTGGCGGAGTAACCGTCCTTGCGCTTGGCGGGGCCGCGGCCCGGGGGGTCCGAGAGGTGGAAGATGCTAGTCTGCTTGGTGCCCTCCCCCCTTCCCGCCGCCCTCTCCCCGCCTCCTTCTTCCCCCCCCCCCGTCCCCTTGGGCTCCCCCCGCCTGCCCGGGCGCCTGGTCCACCCACCCCCCCACCCTCCTTTCTATCTTCACTCTACCTTTCTCTTATCTTCTTACCCGGGTCCTCGCCTTAGACGAGGGCCCGCTTGATACAATATACACATTAAGCACACGCAGGCAATGATAGCACACTGAAGCGAACTATCAGCGCAAACACGCACGAATTCACACGCCAGGCAGGTAGGCGCCAGGGAGTGGAGGGGGGCCCAGTCAGGCCAAAGTGTATTTCAGTTGTATCTAGTACAAAGCAGGAGTTGAACGCGGGCTCCACAATACAGGGGACAATTTGCAGCTGGAACAAGTCAGAAGGGCCGTCACCTGTATCTAACATAGTTGGAGACTCCACAGCATCATTAAGAGATATCTCATCGCCCAACGGTACCCTGAAACCCTCCAATAGCGCTAGGATAGGCACCACCGAATGCCTACAGAAACCCACCTTCACGCTCTGGCCACCTGTAACTGACTCAATATACAATAAAAAAATCGACAGCACAAAAGTGATGTCCAAGCCCCCTAATAAAGAGTCCTGTGCTACAGGCACTTATTGTAGCATCTGATGTCTACCACGCTTATCAACTGTATGCCTATACTGTAATATGTTATGTTATACTTGACCACGGTATATGCTTAAACCGGAACATCTTGCCTTGTTCTATAATACTTTGTCAAATAAAATAAAGAATTTAAAAAAAAAAAAAAAAGTATTCCAAGTATACACTATACAGGGCAAGCAGCCAAGTGACATTTACATATTTTCACATTCAGTTCTTAGAAGCTTGAGTGTGATACATTGACTGTGGGGTAGACCTTAAAAGTTGTTGGTTTTTAAAAAAGATACAGTTTCAGTATTTGACACAGACCAAAGCTGGCAATTTTACCTACACAAGACACAGATGAAGAGAAATCTAAAGGCACTTTCTAAAACGTAGGATAGCGGCTACACCCCAATAAACAATGCATTCTCAATATGGGCCTCAGTAGTCTGGGCTAGGACAGGTTCATCATATTTGCCAGGACTATCATCACTCAGCAATTCCAAACGGAGGAGCCCTGAAACGGGGAACAAGTTACTGAAATGGTTGCGCAGACTTTAATATACAATTAAAGAATTAGTCTCCAAACTAATGGCATGTATTATCTGGTTGTATCATATAAAACCAAAAACCACTATTCTAGTTAATGGAGGCCAACATTGTAAGCCATCACTAACCTAGGTATAAGATTTGTCTGGTAGCATACTTACACTTACCAAAAACATAGCCCTGTATGCACTGGGCTGCCAAGGTTAGCCATGGGAATTCTCACACCTCAACTGGTAGGTATAGCCAGAATTGTATATAATAAATGTATGCAAAAGAAAACACAATATATTGCAAGTGATTATCCATTAATTCCAGCATTTGTTTGAAATTGTAAAAAAACAACTGCAACATACAGTGGTGAAGAGGTTAATGAATTTCAAACAAGAAACATAATTTATCCCATCAACACAACAGCACCTAATCCATTATGCCTTTACAAATCAATACAATATGCAAAGAGTAATTTTCATACTCACCTCTGAGTATTAATGTATCATCGTCAAGCAATACATTGTACTAAGATTTCTCTCCCTTTGTACTGTGAATAATGCAATGACGCAGGACACAGAAGGTTCTTTTTCCTATTTTCAGTTATTAAATGTTGCTTACTGTTTAAATACATTTCTGAGATTTAATTTATATATACAAATACACACAGTTCAGACTAATATTGGCACCTTGGTAAATAAGCAAAGAATAAAAAATTATCTTGCTTAACCTTTTGATATTTTGTTAAAAGAAAATACACAACAATACTCTGCTCTCACGGATATCAAACAATTGCAAACAACACAGCCACTAGAGGCGCTTCCACCAAACGGACCAAGCAAAAATAGTGGTCACATGATGCGAAAGCTGTGGATTCAATGCTTTCCTATGAGAAATTTTGGATGTTAGTGCAGTGCTCGCCATGCATGCACATCGGGTGCCCAATGCTTGTGTAGGAGGAGCATTGGATTGAACCATCGCCTCCTCGATGGCATTGCGGGAGGAAAGGTGAGCAACGTCAAGGAAACAGTTTAAAGGATCACTACAGGGTCAGGAACACAAACATGTATTCCTGACCCTATAGTGTTAACACCACCATCTAGCCCCCCTGGGCCCCTCATGCCTCCATAAATATAGTAAACATCTTACTGTATTCAAGCCAGAAGTTGCTGGCTCTGCCCTTTAGAAAAACAAGCTGTCTGCTGACATCATCAGAAGTGGTAGCGTGATCCAATCACAATGCTTCCCCATTGGATTGGCTGAGACTGACAAGGAGGCAGATCAGGGGCAGAGCCAGCATGATTCAAACACAGCCCTGGCCAATCAGCATCTCCTCATAGAGATGAATTGAATCAATGAATCTCTATGAGGAAAGTTCAGTGTCTGCATGCAGAGGGAGGAGACACTGAATGTTTGGGTGCATTTTAGGCAGCCATGACCCAGGAAGGATCTCTAACAGCCATCTGAGGAGTGGCCAGTAAAGTTATCACTAGGCTGTAATGTAAACACTGCATTTTCTCTGAAAAGACCGTGTTTACAGCAAAAAGCCTGACGGTAATGATTCTACTCACCAGAACAAATTCAATAAGCTGTAGTTCTTCTGGTGACTATAGTGTTCTTTTAATAAAACTTTGATTTATTAAAATGATTGGAAAAAGGGGGGGGACCTGTACATAACTAGGGACAAGGACACTTAAGACTTAGGAATACAGGTTTGCTCTGGTGTTCATTAAAGAGTCCCTATGTTGTTTAGTCACTCACCTGTCAACACAGAACTGATTGACAAGTTAGGGATCCATTTGTTTTAAATGGATTTATTACAGCATCAAGACATTGGCAAGCAATTCTAAATCAAGAGAAAAAACAAAACAAAACACACACACACACACACACACACACTTATATTGTTATACTCCATTAGATACGAATATCGTCCGAAGCAGAGTTCCTCCACACAAAGCCTGAGCTTAATGAAGGTGCTCCCCATACAACAATCTACCCAAAACTACTCACACCCAAATAAATTACAAACACAGCTTTCAGTTGCACTCCAAGAGTGCGAACGGGTAACTAAAGCGCGGAGGGGGTTCTATAATGTACAGGATTACATTTTTTTTTTTTTGCACAATTGACATGAAAATACACAGAATCTAAACAAGAAACTCACATTTTTCTCATTTATTTCTCAACTCGTTTACGTCACATGATACTTATTGGCTTTATGCGTCGGAGAAAACTGTCAAACTCTAAATAAAATTATTTTCCGGAGCTCGGAAAGAATGCTTCAATAAAAGACTATTCAACATCTCCAAAAAACAAAGACTCCATGATTGTGAACAAAGAGCACCTACGGTACTAACAGTTTACTTGAAGACTATTCAATAGCACAATTAATGATATTTTTTGAGCAGCATGGCATGGTTATTTTGGGACTTTTCAAGTCTTGGCTTTATAATCTACATTTATAGAAAGGAAAACTTCACATTATTGTATCTGCCCGACACACCCAGGGGTAGAGGTACAATTAATGCCAGATAGTCATCTTATCTTACCAAATCCCAAAACAGCATAGAATGCCTCAAAACATGGAGGCATATTATGCCATTTAAAAAATGTTTTATTTTTTTTAAATACATGTACTGTATCAATTTTGCATTTTTATAATAGTGCACTCCACTGAGAAATAGTAGAAATTACAGTTTCACAGCAGAAAAGAATCCAATCCTCTTCCTCTAGGCATAATTTTTTTCCCCCCATTGCGCCAAACTAAAATCGTTCAATAAACCAAGTCCAGGTTTATTAAACAAATGTATTTTTTCCTCTGGGGGTGACACTGTCCCAAAGCAAATAAAAATAATATCAAGTTAATAAAACAATTTGTTTGCTTCCTGAATCTGTTTCACACTTAACACCGCTGACAAGAGATATATAGATTTTATTCTATAGACAATTGTCACCTTTTGGACTGGTCAACAGTAAAGAATGGTCCATATGGAGAAGCGGGGAACATCGCTCCCTCCATGGTTTTGTTACAATAAACATTTTTTAAAAATCTAATATATTCTTGTAGTAACAACCTAAGATAAGCATGTTTGTGAGAGATAAAACAAGTCTTTAATTCTACTCTTTCCTTACCACTTCAGTGATGGCTGGAGATGCTGACGAGTGACAAGCAATAAACTATGCAGAGATTTTGGATAATGCTTTTGCAAAACATCCAAATTTTCCGGCTATAAACCTCTCAGACAAACTCAGTCTACTCTAACAGGATTTCAGACAATCACCCATTGTATTTGCATTGGGTTATCAAAATTAATGTACTGCGTAAGGTGCCATGATTGTGGGTGATGCCCCCCATCTGTCAAACCCTTTGAGCGTTTTTACAAACACTGGGACTCACCCACACTCAAAGCCTGGTTCCTCTCATAATGCCGAAATTAAACTAAAAAAAGGAAACCAAGCCATCCAACTTCGCAGAGAGCCCAGTGCTTGCTGCCTATCTTTGCCATCCAAGGTTAGAGAGACACCATAGAAGTGAATTGCATCAAAGGAGGTGGGAGGGGGGAGATAAGATCATAAACACTTCGACGAAAACCAGAGGATGGAACCCAAAGACTAATTGCATAAAGCTGTAGATGGTATCGTACTGCAACTAGTTCTTTTAAATACAGATTTTTAAAAGAAGAACAATTGCAGGAAGACTTTTCAGCTTTGACTTCCATCCTCATTTACTCAATGATTGATGGCCGATTCCATCAATGCACATGCAGAACTGTATACTGTGTAACATGGCAGTGGGTACTTGCAAAGGTATTCTAGAAAAATTATGCTTCTGCTACCTACATTTTAAGTAGAACTGTATTTAAAATGTATTTTTAAAGATCACGTCTGCATGCTATCATTTCCCTTATATGTATTTTAGCTAAAAATGTAACAGACCCATATGTGTGCACAGCCCAGAGATATCCAGATCACAATTTAAAGCATATCTTTACATTTGCTGTGGATTTCATGGGCAGTAGACAAGTACATTTGAAAACATTACAGGGAACCTTTCGTCGGTACATGTGTATACATGTCTTTTGTAGCTGGCTAAAGACAGATCTCCTGCACAGGCCAGTTTTGAATCATGCTGTAATAATAAAGGGGTTAACAGACTCAGTCTGCCTGCAACATGGGAGATTAAGCTGTCTGGGACACTGTTGGTTTTCCCACTGCAGACAGTAAGCAAGTGAAATAGGCTTCACTAACCTGCCTGGCAGCAGAATATCATATGAATGGCATTCATGTCTAGGGTCATACGAGGAAACTCAGTGAAATACTTCTGAAAAGGCCCATTTAAACCAGCTGATTGATATTGAAGGGGAAAATACCTTTTAACAGGCATTCATTTAGAAAAACACCAAATTATGCCATATAATAAAAGGCCATATATCTGATAACAAGGTATGTTTTTCTATTCTCATTGTAGAGGGATTTACAGCTAAACTAAAATAAAAATTTTTAAAAATCACGCCATTAAGAAACTGGATGATGGTCACCATGCTCACATGTCAAGTAAACAACTCAAGACTCTAAAGTATTCTCTCGAATATCTCCTTTTTGGTTAAAAATAAAGTGTTTAATCTGAAGGAATGTAACACAGTTTGCACTGTACTGAGGAATACATGAAAAGAACATTTCACAGCAGAAAAGAATCTAATTCTCTCCCACGAGGCATAAAACAATTTTGTTTTCCCATTGTGCCAAAAAATAAAAATAAATATCTTTCACAAAACTAGATCCAGGTTTATTAAACAAAATGTTTATTTTACACTGGGGGAGGGGTGGTCACACTGTCCCAAAGCAAATAAAAATAATATCGGGCTAATAATTAATATTTTTTTTGCTTCTGGAATTTGTTTCACACCAAACACCACCGACAAGAGATATAGATTTTACCCCAATAGAAATTGTAATTTCTTGCTCTGAATTGTGGCCATACTCAGCAGAAAGGACCCAATTGTGAGTGCCAAAAGCATTCTATAACACTCCCACACAAGTGACTGTCTCCATCACAGTAGTTTCTCTCTGTGACATTAGCAAATTGTAGTTAAATATAAAATATGGAAATTATGCGATCAACTATACCGTGGCATGGTGTGGGGGGCGGGGGGGGAGGGGTGAATGAGTCAGGTGGGCAACAGGAAATTAAAAACAGCTTCCTGGTGGAACAAAGTAGGAGGTTATTTCAGTTAACCAGGAATTGTGGATAAGTGACAAGGGAATTGAAGGCCAGAATACCAAATCTAGAATACAAGAATTTTCCGGTTTCATTACTTGACCTATAGTCACCAAGATGACTCTAGCTTAATGAAGCAGTTTTGGTGTATAGATCATGCCCCCCCTGCAGTTTTGCTGCTCGATTCTCTGCTGTTTAGGAGTTAGATTACTTTGTTTATACAGCCCTTGGCACACCCCCTTGCATGTGATTTCCACACCTTTCCTAAACACTTCTTATAAAGAGTCATCTAATATTTACACTTCCTGCAAATTCTGTTTAATTTAGAAAGTATTGTGTCATGCTCTGTTAATAGACCCTCTAGGAGCCTGCTGCATGTAATAAAAGTTCAATTTACAGAGCAGGAAATAAAAATTACAAAATAAAATAAAAATAAACTTTTAAATTTAGTTACATCTATTTCAAAATGAACCATTTTGTTTTCATGCAGGCTGTGTCAGTCACAGTCTTGGAGTGTGGCTAGTAGGGATCGACCGATTATCGGTTTTGCCGATATTCCAATTTTTTTAAGTATCGGCCGATAATCACCGGTAATACCGACAAGGTGGCTAAGTGCGTCCATAAGGCGGCACAAGCAGCCGCCTTAGGGCGCACCTGCCCAAATGGCGCTAGATTGTAGTGACCGGGGCGCACAGCACTCCCTCCTGCCAGGCACTCTGTGTAGCATGGCCGAGCGGAGCAGTGTGCAACGTGGTACAGGAACTTATGTTTCCTGTACCCGTCCGGACTGAAAGGAAGTGCTCACTTAGAGCACTGTCAGTCCGGCCGGGTACAGGAGACTGAATTTCCTGTACCGTGGGAGACAAGACAGGGGGAAATTACACTGTGGGGGAGAACACTGTGGGGCGAGAGAGGAGGGCACTATGGGAGGGCTCTAAGGTACAGGGAAGGGAAAAGAAACACTGGGGTGGGGAGGCACTAAAAGATAAGGGACAGGAACATTAAGGGGAATGGGGGAAGTTCCTACCACACATATTTACACACAAACACACTGCATCCACTACATTTACTAATCAAATACTCTCACTGTATCAACTACACACACAAATATTCTTGAAGACAAAAAAAAAAAAAAAACTGACAAGGTTGTTTGTTATGTATAAATATAAAAATGAAAGCTTCTTGACAAACCGAAATGCCAAGCTAACCATGTTCGAATAGAATCACGCTAATACAAACACCGTGCGAGCCAACTAACATAACGCAATACTGGCATTGCTTACTGTACACTATGTAAATGTCAAATGCTTTTTTTTTTAAAATAAAGTATTCAAAAAATAAAAATCTGACTGGCATGTATATTTTATGCATTTACCACCTAATCAAAATTAAAAAAAAATTCCCCCAAAGATTTAAACAATTTTTTTTATTGTTTTCTTAAAAAACGGTAAATGTACAGAATATTGGTAAGCTATCGACTATCTGCCTAAAAGTTCACAGATTATCAGTACTAAAAAATCATTATCGGTCGATCCTTATTGTCTAGGGCTCCATAAACAGAAAAATAAATAAGTTTTTTAAAATGGTGAATTTAACTCCTAAATGGCAAATAATGGAGCAGTGAAACTTCAGAGGCATGATCGATACACTATAACGGCTTCACACGTTTTGGGGACTATAGAGTCCCTTTAAATTTTTCACTTTTTCCAATTCTCTGCAACACCTACTGAATACCACCACATTATTCTATCTGAAAATAAAATCAAGACTTGAGGTTAAAAATTTTTTTTAAAAAATTGTGTTTTAGTCTATTGCATAAACACTCATAAAACATGTATAAATAATATGAATCAAGTCTGGATTCCATCCCAAGTATCTTTAGGCACAAATCACTATGCTTTATTTTTAGCATTGCAAAAGAGAAGTAGCTCTTACCCAGGTGCTGGCACACCCCGGCTCTGAATCAGTGAAACCACTGATATAAGGTCTCGACTTGGGTGGAGAAACAAAGCAGGAAGCAGGTCAGTGTCTGCATCTGCTATCACTGTAAAAGACTGCAAGTAATTGCTCTGATATGGCCTTTGAAGAGCAGTTTCCTGTTTTTCTGCCAGCAAACACATGTTGCCTGGTTTAACACATTGCTTTATCCATCTACATTGTAACATTGAAGGAAGATGTAACAAAGCATGGTAGCCCGTTAAAAGCGTACATAAATCCTCAGCACATTCTAAAAGTCCAGCTAAATCTTTTTTTTTGTGTGGCTTTTGCCAAATATTAAAGCAAAGCCCTATAAAATATAAGAGGTCATGTTCTCTGTTTATACTGAATTTCCAGGGCTCAAAATATCGCCAGCCACTGGCAAGTAAAAATGTAGCCTTTATCAAGCAGAAATTCACTCTGGTGACTGTGCCACTTCCCCACCGGTCAAAGGAACACTATATAGTTACGAGAACGACGACCGCTTATTTTATTTGTTCGGGTGAGTATAATCATTCCCGTTAGGCTTTTTGCAGTAAACACTGTCTTTTCAGAGAAAATGCAGTGTTTACATTACAGCCTAGTGATAACTCTACTGGCCACTACTCAGATGGCTGCTACAGGTGCTTCCTGGGGCAGTGCTGCACGTTCAGTGTGACTGCCATTCAGTGTCTCCACCCTCTGCACGGAGACACTGAACTTTCCTCATAGAGATGCTTTGATTCAATTCATCTCTATGAAGAGATACCGATTGGCCAGGGCTGTGTTGGCTCTGCCCCTGATCTGCTTCCTTGACAAGCTCAGGAAATCCAATGTGAAAGCATTGTGATTGACTTAGAACACAACTTCTGATGATGTCAGCAAAGCAGGTAAATCAGTGGCAAAGCCAGCAGAAGCAGACTTTAAGAAAAGTAAGATTTTGCTATATTTAAGGCAGCAAAGGGAAGTGGAGGGTCAGGGAACAGCAGGGAGTAGATGGAGTTTTTATTTACACTATAGGGTCAGGAATACACGTCTGTGACCCTACAGTGTTCCTTTAAGGCCTAGCTAATCACGTAAGATCTGAAATTCTTAGCCCTGCTAAATAATAAAGTATACTATATCCAATAAATCATCTATTCTGAGAGCAGCTAATCTTTGCCACTGCGGCTTTTGTGAAAAATACTGTATATGATGCTGGCTCGGCATCATATGAGCTTTGTTTTACATTTTAACTAACAATTGAGTAATCATGTCACTCTGCTGTCATAGACCATAATGCTGTCTGCTAAAAATGATCCACACACTCTACATCTTGTTTCTCCTCCATGTACTATTTTACCATAAGCTGTTTATGTTTAAGGGAAGTATATATTGACATTGTGAGAGGCCTCTATTTCCTACTCAAATGTGATCACGGTAACTATGCACTAAGTGAATTATTAGTGAGAGCTGTCACTAAAGACTATAAATATTATTGGATCATAATGGCTTCTCAGGAAATCTTGGCAGCTTCCTTTTTGCGTCTAGATAAAGTAACCAATATTTAACTCATATTCTAGAGCTTACAGATCTGTAAAGATGAGATGAAGAGGAAAAAAATGCTTTTGTTGATGAAAGAAATATCTTCACTAGACAAATTTAAAGTTGCACTGACACCTTCCCCCCAGTCACCAGTGCTGGCTGCAGGGAATTGGTTGTGTCTATGGAGGATCCCACATAGACCTCAATGCTGTACTCTCGCATATGCACGAAAGTACAGCAATGGCGTCAGGGCAGGACCCCCACCAGATCAAGATGTCAGCACCCATGATGGACAGGTTCAGGTGAATTCCAGATTCCTACAGTAGCAACACCACCAAAATAACTTATTCATATTAAAGTTGTTATGGTGCCAGGAGGTCACAGAGGCATACTTACCTAAAATGGGTTAAACTGTTTGAGAAGTTTAACTCCAAAAAAGCCTCCAGTGCTGGTCTCAGCTCCTCCCCAGGCAGACAGCAGTCAGCTAACACTCAGCCATTGACTCCCAATTCACTAAACTGGCTTGCAAAAGGTATGTGTTTTTTGAATGCCAGTTTAGTAAATGGGGAGTCACTGAATGGCTGAAAGCATCAGCTGACCTCTCAGCCAATTGGTGGTAAACTGCCCGACGGCACTACGCACTACCTGTAAGTGAGATATCAGATGCCCGATACGACCTAGGGAGGAGCAAAGACCAGCGCTGGAGGCATCTTTGGGGTTATATCCCTCAGTTTAATCCTTTAAGGTAAGAATGCCTCTATGGGCCTCCTGGCACCATAACAACGGCATTGAGATGTCCCTTTAAAGTGGTTTGGTCACCTCAAACTTGGCTCCTATTGTTTCCTCTAACTCATTCAGAATCTGTTCTTTTCTTACCAAATTCTCTTTAAAACAAGTAGGGACTTTGTCTTATGCATGGCAAGCTTGCCTTAAGCCCCACCCTTTGTCAAGCTTGTCAAGTGTAGGAAAAAATACACAAGACAAAAGTAGTTCCTTCTTGGCCTTAAAGTTTTAAATAGATTTAGATCAGAAATGTAAAAAAGAACGCATTCCAAAAGAGGAAGAGAAAATGAAATGATAGGAGAAAAGTACATTTCAGGTTACTTTAAGAGGAGAAGAAACCACTTAGTGTGACGAATCTAAGAGAATTGTAATTAAAATGCAGATAAAAATAACCTCACATTGGAGTTACAGACTGAACGTGTTGCCTCATTGTATTGCAAATGTAAACACTGTAGTAAATTTGAACTTAAAACTTCTGCAACTCCAACATGTCAGTTCACTGATGGCAATTGAATGAAATCTTGTATAATAATAATAATAATAATAAATAATATTTTTATTTCTTCTTTGTGCAAGTTGCAGTATTCCTTTGCCTGATGTGTCCACTCATTTGGAACATTTGAAATATTTTGAGACACTATAGGCTATATCTCACTGAAGTGGTCTCGGTGTGTTGCCTCTGTTTCCCTTGGCACTGCAATGTTTTACATCACAAGGCTAAGACATCCAATAAAGGCGCTTCCTTAATTCACACAAAGTTTAACACTGAGAAACGATGATTGACATCCACACGCTTTGCATGAGGATGTCCAACGGCTGTGAAATTCCCATAGGAAAGCACTGAGTCAATGCTTTCCTATGGGAAAGGCCTAATGCACACGCATCACTCACTGCTCATTAGGTTCACCCCTCAGTGTTGGAATAAGGTGAGTGACACGGGTTTTTTTTTTGGGGGGGGGGCAGTTAAACCTTTCACAGCCAGGTGGGAAAACTAAGGGGGCAAAGGGACTCTAATGTTAGGAATACATCTTTGTATTCCTAACACTAAAGTGTTCCTTTAAAATCACTTTAATTATGCAGCCCTAGCCACACCTTCCTTGGATGTGACTCACTCAAATACACATTTTGAAATAAAACATCTATTTGTTTTAGCGTCACTTATCACATTTTTGTTTAGTTTTGAATTTCTTCTTATCTACAGCCTGCTAGAATCTGTAAAACACCTCCTGTGTGTGTTTAGAGTTACAATTCTATATAAACTTCTAGAGTAAAAACACTGTGCTGTAAGGTCTGATTGAAAATGAACCCTTTATTTATGGAGGCTGTATGAGTCACAGCCAGGGAGGTGTTACTAGGGCTGTATAAACAGAAGCTATGTAATGACTAAATGTCAGAGAACAGAGCAACAAGACTGCAAGAGCATGATGTACATCCCAAACCTGCCTTATTAAGTTGTTTTGGTGCTTAGTGTCCTTTTAATGAGTCCTTTGTATTAAAGGTTAAAGGAAAGAACGGTTGCTTTGGTAGCTTTTGCGAAAGTTTGTGGTTATTTGATTATTTTTATCTGCATTTTAATTCATCTTATAATAAAGAAGGTTCTTAGATATACATCACTTTAAGTGGATCTGACTAAAAGAGGGTGTAAAAACTACTAAAGGGCAATTGATGCTGTGGGCACGTGATATTCAAATAGTGGGGCTGGTCCATTAAGTGTTGCTGTATGCCAGCGATAGCCAAGTTTGGTACACAAGATGTTTCTAGGCTCAGTGTCTGTTGAGGAGGACTGAGCATCATAACACATGCATTTCAGAAACATTTATGCCTCGTTTCCACTGAGGGGAATGGGTCGGTTCGGTACAGTACGCTATTTTGAGTGTTTCCATTATGAAAGTGGCCCATACAACCGAACTGCACCATTCCTGGTCCCCCTTCAGATGTAGGGGCATAGGAAATGGTATGGTACGGTTAGGGTGAGCTACTAGCGTCACAGTATACAATCCATTGATTGGAGGACATGAAAACGTCAATGCTCATGACAAATGACATGCTAGGAATTTGGTCTAAACCCCGCATGGCCCCTAGCGGACCGACTTGTAGGGGAAACGCTCACCTGAATAGGCTGGACCATTCTTACCCTTCCAAACTGTACCGACCCGAACTGTTCCGCTCAGTGGAAACGAGGCACTAGCGTGCTAACCTTAGGTTTTACCATTATATATTCTGTACAACTAAATCAAGTACAATGAAAATTCTGCATTATTAGCAATATGAAACTGTGCAATTTTCATACAAAATGCAACCAAATAAAGCAGATTTCACTTAAAAAAAAACAAAACAAAAAAACTGTACAATTCTTGCCAAACCAAGGGTGACACAACAATACTTTTAATCTGCTTCTGCTTTGGGGGAAAACACTGATTTTCCAGTGTCACTGCGACCCAGAGAACATTCCATTCTGAGTATCTTTGACTCATAATATTACATACACCAGTGAGTCACATAACTATTTCTTAATGAAGTGCTGCTGTGCCCCTCCTATGTTGGGGGCCAAACTGAGTGATATCACACATGAGAGGAAACAAGTTTATGGGTGGGACAGCCATGCTCCTAACTTGCAGTAACTTTGCAGTTGAGCAAAAGTTTTACGATTTTCGTACATTATTCATAAAATTTGAATGGTAGTTCCAAATTAAAAAAAAAAAAATTAAAAAACAGCAAGTGACATTACATATATACACACACATACATCTATATATATACATTTTTTCCAGTATTACTTTAAAGTAGGAGTTGACAAAACCGATTAGCAGGTATATGTAGAACTACAATTCCCACAATACTTTACCAGCCATAAAACATGCAAATAAATCTGTGGATTAGCAGATCTACAACACCAGGAAATCTACCTTTAGACACCAGTGACTGCACATGTTTTGACACATATGACTGAAAAAAACGCAATGATTTCAGGGGGCAAATCCACAAATACAAAATCATTAACATACTGCCATGTTGCCCTTTGATGTCCATAGGCCTGTGTTACAGTGCAAATAAGTGTTGAAACCTGCAGCAAGCAATGGAATGTGCTGCAAATCATTGTACAAACATCGCAGGCCTTCCAGCAATCTAACCTCCAACACAATGGCATACATTCTACTTCATAGCATGTAACAATGTTTTTATACATGACTCCCAGAGACAAATCTTGGTCAGACAGGAACTGGGTATTGCCAAGCAATGAGGGAGATGACCCTGCTAACAGCTGTCACACATGGTGATGGGATTCAAATCTGTCACACAGACACAAACTATTTACTATAAACAAAGGAATGGCTACAATAAAGATACAAATTCATATTTAGTACAAAAAAATAAAATAAAAAAAATACATAAAATCAACATCAACCAGGTTAAATAAGAAAAATAAATCTGCTAGGATTGCTTCTTACTTCTGTCTAGACAGCCAAGCCTAGGACACAAAGCACAATTATGGTCATGTCTGCTCTGCATGATGTGTGTACACACAAATACATGGATCACACTGCAGACTGACACCCAGGGGGAATGGAACACTGGAGAGAACACAATCATTGATAGAATGTAGAACCCCCTAGCTAATAAACATGCTGCAGCTATAGCACCCCAGGGACATTTATGTGATATGACTCATAATTAAACAAGAAGAAAAAAGAAACAAAAAAAAGGCACACCCTCTAGGGCAGAGCAAGGATACACCCACCACCCCACTCAACAGGGTGGCATCTCACCAGGAAGAGTGTGGGGTCAAAGGGCACAGGGGAAAAAAATCCACTCAAATTACCCTAAAATTTTTTTTTTTTTTTTTATATATATATATATATATATATATATACATATACACACACATACACACACACATATATTTCTGGAAATGTGTGATTTAAATATTATCTGTTCTAATAGCACCATCCCACACTTCCTGTACTGAATGTGAACACCTCCCCTCCAGCCATTGAGCAAACCTCCCCCCCACCCCTCCCAAGCAGCACCCCCAGTACATGAGATGGGGGTCCCAGGGACCCACCTGGATGTAGTTGCTCTCGCAGTAATCTGCCACCCGGGTGAGGTTCTGGTAGCTCTCAATCAGAGCCCTCTTCCCAGCAGGGATTTCCTCCTCTAGTAACATCTGCAGCTCTGCCATCTTCCAGCCCTGTGCATAGCTCTTCCTTGTAAGCTGAGGACAGACAGCTGAGCCCAGACCCAACCCCGCCCGACTGGTATTCTGGGATTCCCAGCCTCGCTTCCGCCCCAGCACCCCCCTCTCTCTTCCCCAGAGCTGCACAGACATGCGCATAAGGGGGCGTCTTGCTGACGCAAAGCATGTCGGGAGTTGTAGTTTTCGCCAGAAATGCTTCTTCCCCAACAATAAATGGTTTTTGTTTTTTTAAATATTCTACAGAATGAGCCATTCCATTCCCTCCATGGGGATAATGAGGAGGCCATACAATGATGTATTATTATGGACACTGGCAATTAATGCAATATTTTTCATGTGAAGAAGTGCTCCTAATGTGTCCTATTAGCTCATGCCCCTATGTGGTTATTACATGTTATAACTTCCCATTTTAAATAAATAGGCTTGTTTGCCTCACTTGCAACACACATGCACGTCATGCACTAAGAGTTTCTCACTACAGTGTGAATTGTGAGAAATTAACAGTGAATTTTACTAGAAAATAGCAGAAATTGATATTATGGGGACATGTTTTAAATATGGCCACTGTTTCCTGAATTGTGAAATTCTATTTGGGGGTTTCTTTTCTAAATGCTGATATGTAGTGAAGTGAAATCTGAATAGCAAAATATAGACTATAATGTCCAAGCTGTGACCAGGCCTGATTAAGGCAGGACAGTCCCTATTTCTGGGCATGTCCCGTTGTCCAGGGTTGGTTCCCTAGAGCCCCGCATCTGAGAACACCAGGCAGCTGTCCCCAACAAGCGCAGTGCAAGCACATCATTAGATGCGCTTGCGCTTTGCTGAAAATACTATAACAGCGCTCTCCACATGGACGACTGAGTGTGATGCCTGCAGCCATACGTTAACGCCAAGATGACACACCCTTTCTGTGGACAAGGGCAAGTTGCATCGCTGGCATACACCCCCAGTGCCCGATCACACATCCATCACTCATACATCCCAGAGTTGGAGGTATTTGTGATAGAAGCCATAGTTCCCAACATAGACGTCTATGGTGAGCAGGACGCATGAGGGGGTTTGGAGGGGTAGGGGCAGCCATTGATGCAACTTGTACCACATGCACTAACCAAATGGCAGATTTGCCCAGAAATTGGTCTACCCTGCCCAAAGAAGGGCAATCTACCCCCAGACATCCAACGGGATAGAAACATAGAAACATGTGTTTTTGGAGGATTGCCTCCTTTTCTGGCGGCTGCAGTGATGAAGTAGTTTTGCTTTGACAGCCAGTAATAGGCTGTGAGTTTTAGCAGTCAGCTTTTCACTGGCTTCCAAGGGTGACCAGGAGGACTGAGGTAGTGGTCTAGAGGGCGGGCTGGCGGGCACCACCGAAACAACTTTCAAAAATGGTTTATCCCAGTATGTTAAGCTGTCACACTTAGTTACGCCTGTCCCTATAATTCCCCTTTATTGAGATAAAGTTGTTAAGGGTGGGAGCATTCCTTTAATAATAGATTGTGTCAATACATATATGCATCTATTACGCATAATAGAGGAAATAAGCACACACAAAATATTATACTGTTACTTTAAGTGCGGAGACATCCGTTTGCATGTTTTGTGCAATTTGTATCTCAATTTTTGACGCTAGTTTGTTAGAATTTTGTTATGTTTCCTCTTTTAAGTGGTTCTGTCATCAACTGGGGTCTTTGCCTAATTGTAATAAAAAAAAAGGTGACTGCTCTGCAGGCAGAGAGGTGGAAATAAGGAGCAGGGGAAAGTGGATTATACTTACCTTCGCCTGTCCCTGCTAGTCCTCTTCAACTTCTGACGCTTCAACTGAAAGCTTCACAATGCTTCACAAAAGGTAGCTCCACTGTCTGTCAAGCTTTGTCAAAAACAGGAAAAATACTAAGACAAATTAGTCCCTACTTTGTCTTAGATATCTTTTGACTGGGTTGGAATTACAGTGACATTCCAAGTATTTCATATAGATTTTATCTTTATAAAATACTCTTTTTGGATGGGGGTGACAGAGCAACATTAAGTATAGAAATGTTGAAATAACTAGATTTCATACAGTAAGTGGATATAATAGCAGAAACAACATAGTGAAAATAAAAATAACTTTGTTGAAACCAAATAACGATCCAAAATGTAGCAGCAAAGATAAGCCCTCTTAGCAGTATGTGGCACTGTGGCAGCTATAAAAGAGATCTGACACTAAGCAAATTTGTGTATTTTAAATGCAACATGAATCGAGTGATTTAGTCCCAAGGAGGCCAGCTAGCGGTCAATCTGCGGGTACACCAGACTCTAAAAATACAAAATAATTTAATGTCTCAGTTGGAGCAATCTTAAACATAACGACAGGACAAGGCACACATACAAAGTACATTGTCAAAGAGAAATCAACAACAGTGACTTGGACATTCCAAATGCCACATATACAAACTTTATTAATGACAGATTGTCAAACCACTACATCTGTGACCCAATCTCAAGAAAAGCTACATTAAAAAAACACTGACATTTATTGGAGTCCGGCCCTTCTAAAAATGCTTGCATCAATGACAATGTACATAGGCACATAACCTGGTGTAAGAAACACAAAATAAGGATTCCTGCGCAACGGACAATGTGATATAATGTGAGGAGACACGTTTAATCAAAATAGTCATTTTATTATCTACTGAATTATTTACTTATTTTAAAAAAGCAAATTGAGCTTTAAAACCCACAATGTACGGATTATGGAGGAACTGACAGCCTCACTAAACGATAGATACGCCCATTATGTAACCACATGGGAACCTTGGTCAAACTACATAGGCAAATCCACAACCCTACGGAACCCGGACGGTCAAGGGCCCTCCTAGTGCACACTCAACGGTAATTAGCGCAAGCCCTACCTCCCCCCCCCCCTTTTTTCCCCCTCCTCCCTAGACGTAGCGGTACGATGGCCACAGAACTGGCTGAGAAGTAGGGACCTACTAATCCCGGCTATACAGTTAAACCAATATGTTAACACAAAACTGCTGACCACGGCGTCAGTAACGTACAAACCAAACGGGGACATAAGGCCGATGCTGGTACATATCACATGTACCTCGTATACCCCACAACATTTATCTCGGTATCCTATGTACTAGGTAAAGTAAACCTTAAGACAGTTCGAGAGAGAAAGTTGCCTCAGATGATATAAAAGTATCTCTCTAGGTTTTACCTATACTAATATATTTATATACTTTAAACATGTTTACCATATGTTACATCGAACCAGGATTTTGAACTTGTAACCAGACAGATGATCTCAACTGGATAACTACAATTTGTATATGTTAGCATTTAAACAATGTATGTTTATAATTGAACAATGTCTTTGTCACGCTGTCCAAAAATGTTCAAAACAATAAACAGAAAAAAAAAAAAACACAATGTTTTTTTTTATTTTTGTCAGCAGGTAAACATGGGGTTAATTCATAATGATATGGTGAACCATACAAATGGAGTCAAGAGATCAAATTATTGTAAGGTCATACAAAGACCATGAAACATAAGATCATAACGCATGGCTTAGTGTATCTTATGATGCAAATGCTTTTGCCAGTCTAGATTGACCATAGCGCAAACCAGAAAATGCCCAGTGGTCAGCAATGGATATGGGCTGGGGGAGGACACATGACTGGGGAAATCAATGGATCTGCCCAATCTGTCCTGTGAATAAGTATACTAATGTTGGGAAGAGTACTCACAGCAAAGCTCCTTCATTAGAACTTCTGCCATCCCATAATTACTCGTTCCAGACTTGACACAGCAACGTCAACTTCAATTCAACTCCCAAGGACTCGGTCCAATTTTGATGCAGCTCCATTAATTCCATTTAGTAAATTGAGCTCCTGTTCCAAACTTGACACAGCCAAGTGTCCTCATCCATAGCCATGTCGTTGTGAGTGCAGTGTTATTATTATTAGGTCACAGTCACATCATTCTGGTTTCAGACAAACCTCAATGATGTGAATCATGACATTTACTTTGGACTTCTACTCATCCTAATTCTCAATGTTGTAATATGCATCTTTTGAATACAATATAAACTGTATATAAATATATCTATTATGTATCTGTTATTGAATTTGTATGTCAGGGTTTTAGAGCAGGACGAAACCAATATTCAAAATGGCACCGATATAGAAAGGGAGAATCCAAAGACAAAGTAAGGCAGAGGGTAAGGTCAGTCCAGGTAGCGAAGTTTCTTGGGCAAGAGGTCAAATCCTAAGAGTCAAAGTAAGTCAACGGTTTAACAGATAATGAGCACAGAAAAAAATAAACTGAGAACTGTATGCACAAAACAGAGCGCTAATTAAAGCTGCAGAGAGTCTTAAATAGGGAGGGGTCACGCCACATATCACGCCTCTATCATGAGCATGACTCCACTGAACCATTCCTCCATATCTCCATAAAGCGCAGCAAGACACTTCTCCATTGGCTGTGACAGTGAGCAAGCCCTGATCCCGAAGTGCATGGCAGCGAATGGCATCGTGTTACTACACTGGAATTTGGGGCACCAATCAAGCCACCAAGGAGCCAAGCAGGCGAAGACCTCGCCCAGATGCTGGCTTTGTGGGAAGGGCAGCAGTACGATGGGGCCAGTAACGCGGGAGGGCTATGCAGGAAGGTAAGTTTTTGGTAAGGCATTTTCTGTATTGATAATTGTAAATCTCCTGAGCCCATACTACCTCATTACAATCTATAATGAATACAACTTCCAGGGTTATATTCCTTTATCAACGCTGCTCTTGTTATGGATAGAAATTAATGTAGGTAAAATGTCTATTTACTGTGTATACTTGTGCTCATTATTTACTCAAAATGGCTGCTAAAGCACCCCCTCGCATCGTCTAAGACCCTCGTGTAACAAGATGGCATCTCCATCCGGAGCTAGACATAAAGACAATGATGACATCACACCTTGGAGGAAGTACATCAGATAAGACACTTAGCACTTACCAATTAAAAATGTACTTTTCATGCTATCTCATGTTTTGCATATGATGTATTCTTTGCTTTATAAGGGGCTTGCCGCCCCCTCAGTAAACATTACGAAGTTTTT